TTAGTGCGTGGGAATATCTGCCCTGGTGGCGGAGATATGGCCTTGTATCTGCTGGATACAAGATCTGGATACAAGATCAGTGTATGGTCGATATCTCCGCAACCCCCTGGACAACCGGCTTGTATCCGGGGGTTTTCTGATAGCCCTGAGCAGTGGCTACAACATGCAATTTAGTTGGTGTGAATAGCTGTCCTGGTTGCGAAGATATGGCCTTGTATTCAGTGAATACAAGCTGGATACAAGCTGGATACAAGGTGAATACAAGGTCATATCTCGCCCATCGCTTGTGCGATTGCTTGGGTGTTGGTGACAATGTTGTAGCCCTCAATGACGGCTATCGCACGCACATTACAGCATGTTTGTATCTATTTATCCGACGGAGATATTCACATTTTATTGCTAGGAGCAGGGGTCAAGGGCAAAAAAAAGGTCATATATCCACCACTTCAAGGCCAATCATCTGGATACAAGGGGCGATATTGGAGCCCTTGACTGCCGCTATAAGACGCAGTTTCATTCATGTCAATAGCTTCCCTGGTCGTCGAGATATGCCCTTGTATCTGCTGGATACAAGGTCTGGATACAAGCTGAATACAAGATTAGTGCAAGGGCAATATCTCCGCAACCGCTTGGGCAACAACCTTGTATCCGAGCGCGTTCTGATAGCCAGGACTGAGGGCTACAAAGTGCAAGTTGTTTCATGTTGATAGCTACGCTGGTTGCATGGATAATGGCTTGTATTCACTGGATACAAGGGTATTGAACTGTGACTGATGGACCTCCCCTTATAATGGCAGTGCCATTAAAATGCCACTATATGAGTGAGTGCACCCAAGTGCGCAGTGAGTGCGCCCTTATAACGGCAGTGCCATTAAAATGCCACAATATGAGTGGGTGCACACAAGCATGTGTATGGGTGACTGCACCCTATCTCTATAAAACCTGCCACTGAGCTCAGTGGCACGGAAGTAAGGTGGAAGTAAGGCGGAAGTAAGGCCGTATCTTGGCAACCGTTACGGATGTACTATTACTTCCAAAGGTTTTCCGGTAGCCCCGCTTCTTGGCTACACAATGGTGGTGGTTACGTGCCGGTGGCTGTGCGTCCGGGCCGACACTGAGCTTACTTCCGTCGGAAGTAAGCGTATCGGACACGGAAGTAAGCTTTTTCTCCACAGGAACCCTGGAAGTAAGGTCATATTATGATATATTCTTGAAGCCCTCGATCAGGGCTACAACAAATGAGTACGATTGTGGCTGTGCACCCACTCGCAACCCCACTTCTCCCCCCTGTGCCACAGTGTATGGGCCATATCTCCGCAGCGACCCTGGAAGTAAAGTCACTTCAAAGTGGATTCTAATAGCCCTTGGCGACGCCTACAACACCCAATTTACAGCATATTAATAGCTGCCCTGGATGCTGAGATATGAGCCAGTCTTTGGTGGCAGGGCATACATGTCAGGCATACCTAGAGCATGACCCTGGAAGTAGCTGGCCTGTGATGGGTTTCTAAGTAGGCTCATATTATCTCTGTACTATG